TAGAACCCTAAAATAAGATGTTCTTGCGTAATGATAGTCTATTTTGAAGGAGAAAAATTAACTTCTCTCAACAAAGCAGGCTGCCGGACTACCAGCTGAAGATTTAATAATCATAATACATGCACATTAATATGCTACCCGAAAGTTAGCGAAAACACTCCATATTGACATTGTTAGTACACAATTTACATGATGCTTGATAGCGTGTCAATTAAAATGGCAAGGAAGCATTTTAAGCACAATTTTAGTTGCGGTAGAATTTATGAGTTTTGTAGATAAACGCATTTTTAAATTTTGTGGAACTATGATTGTAATACGCTGATCTGGTGCTACTGGCATAGAGGAAAAAATAGATAGGCAGCAGATAAGATGGCTTTACCAAACTGGCTAAAAGGGTAAGATAGATTCAAACAGTAAGGCCCGACCTCAAACAAATTATCCTCTTCTACTTGCTCGAAAAATGAATTATATTTAAAGGAAATCCTCTTTCGATTGCAACAAATTCAAAGTTTTTGGCCAACTTGAAACATTAGCCACGGCGGCTGTATGTATTGGCAGATTATGAGGTAAACAGAGGAATGTACGACGTACTAGAATTAAAATGTAGAGGTTTAGATAGTATACCCGAAGTAGGAAGAAAACTATTTATTAAAACTAATGATATGGTCCATTTCAAAGCAGCTTTAGTGAGTTTGCCGACAACAATTTGCCAAACCCTAACTCCAGAGTTGGGAAAAACTTATCCTATGTAATTCTAAATCAAAGAAATATAGGAGATGCGGGTGAAGGAAGATTCTTATTGAAGAGAAATTTTCCTGGCAGTTTATTAACTATGATTGTTTCTTACCTTCTCAGGATGCTTAAAATCGCCTAACTGCTACGGAATTAAAAATGTTCTCTTTCATCACAGTGCGGTAGCTATGGTTACGATACTTCAAGTTGGATCCAAGCCAATAAAAGTAAATGCTAAAAACATTTTATTTTTTCCACTTTAAGCTCCTCGCTCAGGGAGTTAAAAGGAAAGGATAATGGCTGTGAAAAATTTAACAAAATAAGAATCAAATTTTCGAGCAATATCGCAGCGATGACAAGTTTTTTTTTTTTTAAAAAAAATAAACATGTCACGATTTGTTTTCTTTTTAGTTCCAAATCATTAAAATCGCGTGCATTTCAACTAATCGGTCTAAATTAGCTTTTAGACCTATTTTAACTATTTATTCCTCAAATTTTCTCATAATTCAATGTTTACCCAAGGAAGGTAAATAAACCGTGTCCATAAGATTATTAATAGTAAAACTTATAAAGAAAGAACGTCTGGCTACGGAAAAATCAAGTCAGCATTGAGGAACGCTATTTCTTTCGTTTAATTTTTCCACCGTTGTATAAATATAACCCTGATAACCTCCCTGTTCTGGTGGAAATCTTCGAACAAACATTCATTTTTTTTTCAATGTAAACAAGACTGAATCATGTACGAACAACATAAAGACTTAGACGTACTGAACTAAGCAGCAAAAAAAAAAAGAGTTGTAATTAGTGTCAAGCTTACACTTTCATGTGCGTACAGCGTTTAGTTATAAAAATTTGAATTTGAACTCTAAGTTCAGTACGTCTGGTACATTTTTTTGTTGGTAATGACGCTACAAACATGAGAGGTTATTTTGCCATCCAAAATTAGTTGAGAAGTGTTGAAATATTTTTAATTATTGCATAATTAAATTTGTACCTTCTTGTTTTAAACACCGTTAGATTAACACGCAAGAGTCTTTTGCAAATAATGTCGTTTTTAACCTATTTTCGCGGTTCTCACTAGGGCCTCATCTTCGAAGTTAATTTTCTCATTCTTAAGGGAAAAACATGTGAAAATATTATCCAAGCTACAAGTGAGAGATGAGAATTTTTGTTGGCCTCACGACAGCAGGCGTTTAGCAAGATAATTTTTGCAGAATAAACAATGAATGAAAATCTCCTGCCTTCTTCGTTGTAAGATGATATACATGAATAAACAGAAGCTCGCCGTCACTTTTTTTTTTGTTTTAAGAGTTACTCTTTCTTCCGAAAATTTTAAAATTATCTTTAACATAGTTCAAGTTCTCATAATGTGTGATTTGAAACTGAACAATAGCGAAGCGATTTTTGAACAAAATACTATTTGAAATGAATAAATCGAGAAAAAATTCACAGTATGGTTCAAAATTCTCATTCTAACAGTCTCACTTTCACTTGTTCTGGATTGCTTTCTTCTTCCTTGGGGTTTGCCAAATATTTTCGAAATCGCTCAGATTCTCTTGAAGTGTTATCTGCTACCAAACAGCAGCAGAGCAATTTTGAACAAAGTAGCACTTGAAATGAATAATTTAGGGTAAAATGGTATGGTCCTGACTTGTCTTGTCCTGAAGTCTCTTTTGCTTAAATTGGTTTGGTTTACGACATTTGAAACTCTAAAAGAACTTTAGTGCTAATGCACAGATGAGGTTTTTTTGACAGTCGTTCTAATCTTGTTCTGCGTCAGAGGCTAAGAGACATGAAATAAAATAAATCTTCAATAAAAAAGCAAAAACAAAAAACGCTAACACTATTCCGAAAATGGCATGTGGGAAATCGCGTTTTGCCTCGGCCAAGAGACTTGTAAGATAAGTTTTCGAGTTTTGTATTATATCACGAATATAAAAATTTAAAATCGTGTTTTGGCTGCTAGCGATCAATTAGACTTTCACCTCGGAAGAATAGCTTTTCCTTCTTTCTCTTTTTCTTTCCTCCCGCTAACACGAGTCCAATATGGCTGTAGGAGAATACAGAATGAGGGGAATTTGATTGCCAACCCCTAGACAGGAATCAATTAAATTTAGGCATCATTTGCTAAGGGTCCAAAATAGAATTTTCCAATCCTGCATCCCGCCGCTATTTTTCATTCCATCCCGCCATCCTGCCGCAGTGAACATGTGAACACTTGTAACAAATACAGAGAAAACTTGACGTACCACGGAGTAATTTAAGCCTGTCAATCCCAACTTACAGTGGGGCATTTATTAAGCCCGTTTCTAACGAAAATTGATACTCTCTTATGTCTCCGAGGTCGGTAAATCTTAACTTGAGCCTAATTATGATCCCATCGATACCTGTCCTATCCCTTATCCCGCCTTCAAAACGGAGTGTATTCCGGTCACGCCTCCCTATTTTTATCCCGCATTTCGCCTTAAAAATTTCTCGTATCCCAAATTCTGCCTCGATTTTAAGCCTCATCCCGCACCCCGCCAAACCAATGTTGGACTCTCATTGCTTTGAGTGCCTCTTTGCAAGTCTAGTTCCTTTGCTATGTCTTCTAGAGGTCACTTGTAACTGCAATTATATCTTATTCTAAGTTTTGCTTTGATGGAAAAACTGTAAAATGGTGCCATGGGCATGATTTGTTAAACTTTGTGTATGGTTGGAACTTGATATGATTATGTCCAATATTCTTTTATACTATAGCTTCAAAGGTAAGAGGTTAGAATGGCGGAATTTTTTTTCTTTCAGAAATGTTGGCGCATTAATTGACCTGGTTGATATTTACCAAGAATACAATCGAAGAACTTACAGAAATATGCAATTTCAGGGATTTGGTGTTTTTTTTTCGAAGTGTTCCAGAGGGTCTGAGATGAAACCAATTGCGTATTAGCCTCATAACCCTTTAAAGCCCATGAGTAACCAAGCCAGAACTTCTCTTTACAATATCAATACAATATCACTCAGGTGAGTGATGGGAACAAAGAAAAATATCAATTATGGGATTATCAGTTGATCCAACGCCAAATTCTTGGAACTAACATCTTCAGAATTATATGGAAGTAGGTAAGGAGAGTTACTAACGAGATCTTGGTAGTAAAAGGGTTGATATCACAATGATCTCTCACTTCATAACCAGAGTTGAGTGAACCAATAAGAACACTAAAAGTCCAATATACGGAGTTGAAAATTTAATAACATTTGTGACCCTCCAAGGGGTTTATTCATTCACATATTTAGATATTTTTATCACAAAAACGCTTTTAGAGGTGAAAAGTTTTCAGATTTTCTGTGTTCCTGAACATCCTTAACTCGCCTGAATAGCAACTTAAAATTTCAACGTCAACTGCCCTACTGAAATAAATTACGGTCTTTCCAACACATTGAACTAAGATCCCCTTCCCTCTGAGCCGAGTCTAACTGATAACGACCATAACTAATTAAATAGTTTCTTCTTTTCTCAAGTTTTCTCCTCCACGAGACATAGGTATATTAGATGAATTGTTTATAAATTTTTGTACATGACTCCAAGTTTTGTCGAATTATCAAAAATTTATCAATTGTCCTCGAAGGGTTCTTTTCTAGGCCCTTATGTTTTTTAAGTAATAGAACAACGACGGAATTTTGTATTTACAGCTCCTCGGCTCAAATGGATACTACTCCATTAAAAATAAAGTATTGAATAATTGCCGTGTGAAAGCTCTTAGCAAGTTCGCCCTTATCAAGACTAGTTGGCGAGCGATAGAACAATATCTTTGATTGTACTTTTGTTTATAAGCAAACATCATGCTAAGATATAAGGATAAATAAAAGAAGTAACAATGAAAGGTACTAACAAAGGCTATAGAAAATTTCAGTGTTGGACCCCACTGAAAACTATATTAACCTACTTTTCGATAGTTCATGCTGCGAGAATGACACGTCTGTCTACTGAAATAATTATTTATCGTAGGAAATATGATTTTTAATGATAGCATTCACAAGAAGATACCAGCGCAAATATTTACCAAAATATTCAAGATCATGACGCCAAATCCTTGAAATACATCGATTATGAATCCTATTATTACGTAAATTTCTCTCAGCATATTTAGTCTGTACTACAGAAGCGCGACGAACAACCCGGCGGCGGAACAAGTTTGTAGATATAGTAGGATGAGCAGTTCTTCACATAAATGCGGATTGCGTATTTGCAACCTGAAGAACGGTCACTAAAGCAGACCATCCTTTTAATTTCACCATCTTCCACTGTAGGATGAGCACCATCCAACCAGCCTGACCAGTTGGTACCACACCTGTATGCTGACACGCGTGTTGTTGGCATTTTTTGTTCCTGCAGCTCCCACAAAACGATACCATCCTGAAGGGAGTTGGGTGTCACACAACTCTGAACCGATAGGTGTTGCGTAACTTATCTTTCTATTGGCATAACTCAAGTTTTTATAATGATAGCAAGGATCAGCTAAAAAGTGAAATAATAATTGCAACAGGACTTAGGTTATTAACATCAATGGTTCAAGATCTTTTCTAACGTCCTATAACTCCGGCAGCTTGTCAATCAGTGGTGAAACTTGTACTTAAGAATATATTAATTAAGGGGCCAAGTAGTACATGCGTAGGATATTATCACTGAAGAAGCTAAAACAGTGATATTAAAGATCCAAATAAATTCAAAAGGATCCGAATTTGAGCTCTTTCCTTCTCAGACAGGGCATTAAAGGACAGCTCTAGGTAGACCTAAGGCACAGCCAGTATCGTTTACATATGAAAAACTAATAAAATGGCCGACAGTGGCCATCTCAGAGATTTGAGCGAGAGTATTCTAAATATTGTACCAAAAAGATTAAATTCAAATTTAAATTTAAATGCAGTTTTGACCATTTCCATTAAATCCGGGCTGGCATTCACACACAAAGGATCCGTTGGTGTTCGTGCAGGTAGCATTCACGTAACAAGAGTGATTTCCTTTACATTCGTCAATATCTGAGAAACCATATATATAATGACAATAAAAATTTTTCATTTGTCTCACGCGTGTAGTGGTAAGGGTCACGCGCAGAGTCAAAGTAGCAATCATATAGGATTTCACCCTAACAACATCAAAAGGGATAGTGGAATAGAAATTCCAGAAGCGTGGATGCCCACGATCAAAAAACACAACAACAGGAGAGCCGTGCGACAGCGGACCGCCGAGGGAGAAAATCACTGAGTGAAACAGCAGGAACCGAAATGCACCAAGAGCTGTTGAAAAATAACTTATCACAGCAGAGCATCATGTCTTATAAGATCACATATGACCAGTCGACCTCATCGCCTGAAGAAGACTAGCAGTATGCAGCCGAAACGTCGCGATCTATATCACACGCGACTACATTGTGAGACAAACGAAAAAAAACTTAGCTTTTATTGTAAAGAGTTGTTTCCTCTTGCTTTGATCGCCCTTTATAGCCTGAGTTGTTTGTACCTCAACTGGATTTTCCTTTTTAAATTTTTTTTATTATATTTTAGCATTTCTCGTGAATCTGATTAGTGAAATAATTTGGTTTGGTCAACTGAGCTGATAATGTAAATTGGCCACCGTAAAGAATTACGAAGCTGAAGTTTCGAGCGTAAGCTTTAAAACTATTTACGGTGGCCAATTTACGTTATCAACTTTGTTTATAATACTGAATTACTCTGTTATACTCTCCCACCGACGCAGCACCACAGTTTCTTTAAAACCTAACCCCCTTTATTCATCGCTTTTTCTATCAGTTTACTGGCGAGATAACCCACATGGGTTGTTGTGAGAACACCAGAAAGGTGAAAGGTGAGCTGAAGGTGATTGATTTTCTTTTTTTTCCGAATTGTTTCCCAACATCTGGAAACGTTTACTACGCTGCTAAACCGATAGAAAGTGCTGTCTGTTACCATAATAACATAAAATTCAGTTTTCCATAAATTACGAGTGCAAACAACGATTGCTTTTTGACCAATCAGGGCACTCGTAGTATCTTGATTATTTAAACTTGATGATAATAATGATAATAAGTGGAGCGTTAAGGAGGACGACACAATGATGAGAAAAGTTGCCAATGCAAAGAAAACACCCGCGACAAAAATGGAAAAACTGCAAAATGTGCTGAGGAGGAAGACAACGAATCGACATACAGCTTTCAAAATTGCGATCCGAGGCAAGTGTTTTGTATACAAATGTTTTTGCATCAAGGCTGGTACTTGCATAAAGAAAGGGAAACCCCGTTTTTAACATTGTGTATGGTAAATTTTGATTTGACGGCGATTTCTTTATTCAAACTCTGGACGCCAGCGTGGAGCTCCGCCAGCACCAGTCACTTTCACAAAGGAAGTTTTTTTCTTTTCTTAACAGATTGGTACTCTTTCTTTCTTCTTTAAGCCTGTTTTATTTTTTTTTTTTTTCACCAACGACTTTCTTCCGCTCATGATTTTCCACGAGCAAAGATTTTTCCTTAAGAAAGAAGCTTTCACATGTGAAATTTGTAAAGTGTGCGATATAAACAAAATATGGAAATAACATGAAAATCGAGCCTCAACATGAGCGGTTGCCGCGAAAGTTCCCCCAGAGGATTCGCCTAGGTCCTTATTCATTAACTTTTATTCGAAAGTACTCTTTTCTAAATAAAAGAAAAATCGATTTTTTCGGCATCTGTAGGTGGGATGTAACCTCAAATTAAAACGAGTTATGGGTGATAAATTCTCTAATTTTTCTGCAACGCGGCTGAATGGTGCGGTGCTGTAGTCCAACGTGTCATGCAGGACTACTCTAAGCACAGAATACATGTAGCGAGGAAAATTAAAGTCACCTGTGCAGTTTCGTCCATTTCCAGTATATCCAGGGTGACATTCACATACATGTGATCCAAGGGTGTTCGTGCAGGTAGCATTTAAGTGACAAGAGTGATTTCCTTTACACTCGTCAATATCTGTAAAATCAGAAATAAATCAAAAATTTGCGGAGCATAAGCTTAGATACCTGATTCTTTCTTTCTTGTGTTTGTAGACGCAAGCACTTCACATTACCACTCACCAGATTTTATTTCTCGGTTCCCCCAATTTCAAATCTGTTGTTCTGTCTTGTAAGCCTAAATCCATCAATTCCCCCTTTGCCAGTTGAGATTTTTTACTTCTGACTGTTTATTTAACTCCTTCACTCCCATGAGTGACAAGACAGAATTTCTCCTTACCAAATCAATATAATATCAAACAAACAAGTGATGAGAATAGAGAAAAATATACTTTAGGGGAGTATTAGTTGACTCACTACCAAATTCACAAAGGTAGCATCATAAAAATTCTATGGCAGACAATAAGGAGAATTGCTCATGTGATTTTGGGAGTGAAGGTTCAATACAATGGTGTCGATCTCACCAAATATTCATGGTGACATTGTTATTATTCAATTGAAAATGACCAAAGTTTGGTCGAGACTTCGTGAGAAACTATTTTGCTGCTAAAATTCACTCAAAGACTCTTACCTTCTAAGTAGTGTAACTGCCCGAAATATATTTATAAAAAATAGAATAAAGCTTTCTGATTTACAAAATAGAAAATGGGGATGGTGGCGCTATCCACGGGAATAAGCATGGCTTACTTGTGCCAAATGATTCTGTCTGATGCTAGAGCTAATCTAACGTGGCGTGCAACTGCGGGCCTACTTGCTTTGTCGGAGGGGAGTAACAGTCGGAAATGCGCTAAAGTTCGTATGCTAATTTAATAATGTACCTTGGCATGACTTTCCGGTCCCAGTATATCCCTCCTTACAGGCACAAAAGTGAGAGCCTTTGGTGTTGGTGCAATTTGCATTCTCATCACAAGCATGACCTCCATTGCTGCATTCATCGATATCTAGAAGTACATGTGATGTAAAAAAGGAAATTAAATAGGAAAAAAAAAAAGAGCAGGAGAAAATTTGGGCTCAAGTATCACTCAGCTGTCACCTAACTAGTACTTCTGTTGCAGTCATATCTTTCACTAATTAAATACTGTGCATGTAATGAAAAAAAAAAAAAATTGGAACCCACAATTTCCACTTTTATGAACAATTTTTTGCTTTGGATGTTTAAGCTATTCTTAACATTGATCGTTCTTCAATCGATCATTCCTTACAACTGCAGTTGGGCGAGGAGCAGAAGTATATTCTTATGCAGTGATCAGCCAATTCTTTGAACTTTAAAGAATTGGAAATTCCAGTAATAATCCATCCGTACGAGTGCAGTTAGGAGAGCCATTAGTATAAGTGCACTTTGCATTCACACCACAAACATGGATTTTCTCGCTGCATTCATCGATATATGTAAACAAAAGTGTTCGTAATGATGATGGTCAAAGTGATGGTGACGAGGATGATGGTGGATGATGATGGTAATTTTTCGGCAATGATGTTGACGATAACTTTCTTTGGTTTATTTCGTATTAATGTCACAAGTCTTTTTAGTATCGCTTCACTCAAAATAATATGTACATAACACAGTGTTAAACATGTTTCCTTTGTCTCCGATGCAAGTGCTTGTGCTTATTCCTGCATTCATTAACTACGTCAAAACTGTAAATTCTGCTTTAATCTGTAGCTGAACTCAGTATCACGAGGAAACCTCGCATAGAGGTGAGCTAAAACAGTTAATGGAGAAACACATTAATGGTCATCTTGGATGACGAAATTAAGTGTACCTGAACATGAGTGTCCATCGCCAGTATATCCCGCTTTACAAGTGCATTTGTAAGAAACGTACGTATTAGTGCAGTTTGCATTCACATCGCAGTCACTGATGTTATATTTACATTCATCCATATCTAGAAATTAGAATAAAGGCAAAGAATAAAGTAAAACGAAGTGAAAAGGGTATCCACGCTAGAACTGATATTAACCAAACAAATATTAGTGATAAAAATAAAAATAACATTAATATAATTTGTGGTATAAAATTAAGTTAACTCGTAAAAAAAATAAGACCTACCCCCGCTAGCCATATCACAGTTAATCAATATTGCCTTCCCAGTTCCTGCTGGATCCAGCCAGTACTTGCCGCTGATGGTGTTTTTACCTTCACTCGCCTTTATTTCGAGACAGGATATCGCCGGTAACTCAGGAATAGAACCCAAAGGAGCTGCAGTAAAAACAAAAGTCTTGTTTTCGTCCTATTCTTATTTTTCAATCATAGATGAGAGGGAACAAGGTTGGCTAAGTGGGGAGAAAATCTAGATAAACAAAAATCAGCGAGACACATAGACTTCTGACTTCTTACCTCTGCCGTTCAATCGCCTGATGTAAAACCACGAGGGGGCTGAAAGGAAATTCTCTGGTCTCGCCTCCTTTGTGCGGTTATTTAGTTCACATATTTGGTATTTTCGATTGTAGTTATAACTTTGGCACGCGATCTCTTGTCCACATTTGACATCGCAAAGGTGAGGAGTCGCCACTGACCATCTTTTAAAGACAGAGCGTTTGAGAGCCATTCCTTGTATGTTTACTTCTGTCCTGCATTGATCATTGGCTGTGACAAACTCCATGGTAGCGGCGAGGAAAAGGAATCTCAAATTTCGGAATAGCCAATACATACCTCTTCGCTATTATTGAATTTGAAAATATTGAGGATCATTCCCCAAAAGATGTTATATTCTTGCCTGACCACAGTCCACCTTTAAAGGGAAAAAAAGAGGTGTCTTTCAAAAAAAACTCAAGACATAACAAACATAGTATATGCAAATTTTGATTAAAATTTGTTGCCTGAAAACTCACCAAAAACAATCCATAATTGCTGTTAATAATCCACATTTTTCGGGAAAGAAATAGATCTAAGAATGTGTGTGTTTGCGTTTTCTTTACTTATTAACAAAACAGTTCAGTATTCAAAAGTGGAAAATAGATCCAAACAGTAAAACTACGCCCTATAATATATAATACTTCCAAGAGACTATCAATTGAAATTCTCTTTTCGTCTTTCAGTGCCGCTTGTTCAATAAACTAGTTCATTTTTTTCTCAGAGGCCACGGTAACGAATCCTGCAATATTGGTTCTTTGCGCGGTCCGTATTTTCCTATCTCTGCCCACGGGCAACGGTAACGCTTTCGCGAGTCGCCGAGTACATCTCTGCTTTCGTTGCCACTCTACATAAACATACCTCTTTTTTCCGGCTGGGCAGTATTTTTAAGCAAAGACGTCGGTCACTACCTCAAGCCGATAAATAACTTATTAATCCTTTCTTTTTACTCTCTCAAATCACTTCGGTTGACAGAAAAATATTGGAAATGAATATGTATAAGCAAAAGCCTCGTTAAATTAGTTGACAAGCGGCCTAAAAACAGTCTGTAATTAATTTTAATCCTTCACAAAAAGATAAAAACGTGGGGTATTTGGTAGTTTGGTTACAATCGAATTAATCGATGGAACTTTCATTCTTATAATATCTGAATTCTTTCAAACAATTTGTTCGTAGTGAACAAAATAACCTCAAAGTAAAAAATAGCAAAAAAAATCGAATTTACTTAGTTTTACTTTCCTTATTAATTAATAATTAATCAATCGTCGATGAGAGTGAATAATACTTTCCGTAAGTTGAAGAAGACACTGTCGTTTCGGTGAAGCAGCTCTCTTTAATTTGCAGTTTATAGAAGATCTTGCTGTAATTAAAGCCCCAAATCATTCAATTTATTTTGGGAAGAATTTTGTTAAGTTTAAGAGAAAAAAATAAAAATGTTATTCACCACCCTAGGTCGGTCTGTATTGGGAAAAACTGTGGCCGAGGTCTTGAGTCCAATGCGGACTTCCAAGCTCACGAATAACATATTTTTTACTTAAAGGAATTACTCGTCTGATTCGCAGAATCACTTCCTGTAACGGGGCAGACGCTGACATTAATCGATTCTAACTACGCCGCGTCGGAGAAATGTTTTATACAAACGAAACCTCCAAGCGTCTATCAATCTCAATATATTTATTATACTTGAGATCTCGCAAAAACTAAAATACAATGAGCAAAAAGAAAGTTATTACCACACAATTCAAGCTAATCGAAATGTCCCAGACTCGAGCACGCGGGGCGTGCACACACAGAGATGTAAAATGCATTTCCTATGGGAAACAAAACTGCCTTTCATTGTACACGTTTTGGCATCTAAAAGCCAAGATAAATGAGATAAAATATCCGTCATCCATTCTATTCTAACTTTAGTATTTCGACTCTATCTTTAACGTTAAACACGTCTGAACTCTTCACATGATTTCTGTACCGTTTACACGGCTCTCTAAGTTGTTCTTTAGAGGCAAAAATTCATGTTGTCAATTATTTGTTTGGATGCAATTTGTTTTTAATTTTTTAGTTTCATTTTTTTATTCAGTTCGAGAAAGCAAATATAGCAAGGTTGGAATCTTATTCATAAACACAACAGACTTTTTCTTTCCCTGTTGGATGTCGTCTCATTCCTATATCAGTTTAGAGTTGCGCCCTGAAAGAGGACTGAAAAGCCTTTGAAATGATTGTTTTATCAATACTTGTCATTTTCCAGCTACATGTATGTGCCAAGCTGTGATGAATAATTTAGGGTGCCTTGGTAAAAGATGAGAGTTGGCTCCCTTGAAGTCCTCAATAAAATATTTTGCACCATATGTTTGGGCGTAAACGCTCAGAATTTTATATTTAATGTTTCAATACACGAAGTAGGCACGTTCGATTATCTTTGTATGAGCATAGAGAACAACATTTTTTCTTGTATTAATGGTAATAGAGAATTTCACTTACCCTGAAAAGGAATAATGGATGGTAAACACGCAATTATCTCTTATAGCCCCCGCAATCTCCAACGTCAGAGAGACTTGATGATCAGCTTTCAGAAACTTTTAAGTCTAAAAGATACATAATTCACCTCTTCTCAAAAACGAGTGCCCTCAAACATTTTACAATGATGTGTTAACATACTTAAGAAAAACCCTCCAGAAATTAGATCCACACTTTGCATCAAATCGTTGCCCAGTAGCTTCGTTTCTTAATGCACAAGCTTTGTACATTGAAACTTGAGTCCGCGATAAGGCCTTAATAAAAACGCTTTAGCGATTTATAGTTCCGTGACCAAGAATTATGTATTTGAAATATTGATGCATTCATTTTCCGCTCATTCCTAGAAGGTTTTTATTGTAGGAAAGACGCCCCGTGGACGCAAACTACAACCGACTGAAAACACCTGTACGGCTCAAAGATAATTAAGTCCTGAATATTCCACTTCTCAAAGCAGAAAAGAATTACGATCGGTCAAGCCATTTGAACTTTATTCTTTTACTATTTATTCCCAAAAAATATATTTGACGGAACTCAATTATCAACAATTGAGAGAAAAGTTGTCTCGAATCATTTATCCAAAGTGAAACTCATGATTCAGTGTTTACATGAACGCTATCAATTGCTTTTTTTTAAATGTTGATGAGAGTCTTAGAGACTACTCCAGCCCTCTGAACATACAGAATGTTGAGGAGAGTCTTAGAGACTACTCCAGCCCTCTGAACATACAGAATGTTGAGGAGAGTCTTAGAGACTACTCCGGCCCTCTGAACATACAGAATGTTGCGGAGAGTCTTAGAGACTACTCCAGCCCTCTGAACATACAGAATCTTGATGAGAGTCTTATAGACTACTCCAGCCCTCTGAACATACAGAATGTTGATGAGAGTCTGAGAGACTACTCCAGCCCTCTGAACATACAGAATAAAGCAAATTCCCGCACGACATTTGGCAGACGTTTCTTTTTCATATGATCCCTTTCAAGGCACTGCAAAACCTCAAAACCGTCAAGGAAAGTAGAACCAAAGTACAATTCGACCATTATTGTGTTCAAACAAATACACAGGCCTTCTTTGGATGGCAAACAAAGGTGATAGTTTAGAGAGCATGCTTGTAGTTACTGTGTTAAAAAATGTCCCTATCGAAATATCGCAGTTTTTTTTATGTTCAATTTTTAAAAGCACCAAATAGGCTTTCTAAATCTAAGCTGATATCAAAGAAACTATTCAGTTTCTGTTACTTTTCTAATTCTGTGGCTGTGCGAGTCTACTAGTATCACGCGTTGAGTCGCTTTTTTCCCCCACAATGACCTTAAGTTGTCTAAGAGCGGTCAATTTTTCTTCCATGCAAATTAGCGAATTCCCGTCTGCGAAACAACAACGAAACATTTTTGATAGAATTGATTTTTGTTTTGCCCTCCTAATTATTCGAAATAATACAGGAACTCACAAAACTAAAGTAATTTTTTAAGTCCAAATTGATAAGTCATTTTATCTTCCCTCACATTCATTAACGTCAAAATCAATAAATGACGAGTTCTAATAAGCTCTTTAGATTGAACAAACAGAAAATCTCTCATAAACGCCTGATCTTAAATTACATAAATTCAATAAATTTGCCGAGAAATTACGACCTATGTCTCGATGCATCAGGATTGTATGAAGACTGTCAATGGCTCATTATAATAACACACCCTTGCTAAATACCATTAATGTCAACAAAATAAGTTAACAAGACTAAGGTTCCTTCCCTTAATAATCATGTTTGTTGAGTTCAGGATTTTAGTTTTGTCACAATGACCAGTGATAAGCTCAGAGCATCAACTGTAGTGAATCAGCAAAATAAAGATTAAGAGTGATGGGGAATAACACGAGCTGAAATTAATTATTTTTAAACAGAAATAACACCACCTGCATTCGATAATGGGTTAAGTAATAGATACCGACCCTTTTGTATTGAATATGGGATGTTAAAAAAATTAATAGCAGTCAGTCCAGACCCATTAAAATGATTGAAACAAATAAAATACGTGGGCACGCATTTGGGATATATGGAAAGACTTTGGATTTGGCGAGCTACGATTCTATCGGTGTTTACCTTCAGATTAGACTTAGAGATTTTGCCACACAAATTTCCATAACATTAGCTTCAATTGCTCCATAACTATAGTCAATGGAGTGCGTTTAAGGAAATAACATCATCAACATATTCTTGAGAACATTAGGTCAACATACTCCGTTACTGCAGTCACATAAAAGTCAAGTTCTTTCGAGTTTCTGAGAAACAACACCTTCAAATTTACAGATCAATCCATGGATTCAGCGTTTTTGTTTTGTTTTTTTTTTTTCTTTCTTTTTTTCTATTATCAGGGGAAAACACCTCATAAAATTGATCGAAGCGTCAAAAATTGACAAAAAACAATAATTACAAAGCATGGCAATAAAAATATAAAAATGTTATGTACCGACATTCCCACTCACGAAATCATACGGATAACGGTAATCGGTGTGTAGGACCAAACAGGTTGGCGTAACCTTATCCGCCAAAAAAAGACATTAGCCCTGTATTCACACAGTTTACTTTCATTTTCCAAAAACATGAAGTCTTAATTTAGACTATATCTTGAAATAGATGAGAAATTATAAAATAATCCTCGTTTCCTAATGGATTGTGATACCACCCACTTCACTACATCGAGAAAAATATTTTCTTGTTTGAACCTTCTACTTACTCTAAGCAATACAGGAACGCAACAAGCTAAACATGGTTTTCCTATTTGAAGCCCTCTGTAATTAGTCATTTTATCTCCCCTCACTTTCATTAAGGTCAAGATTAATTAATGATGAGTTCTAATAAGCTCTTTAGTTTGAAGAAACAGAAACTCTCCCCTAAAACTACTGAAATTCCATAAATTTGCCGTGCAACTTACATAATAAGATTGCATAAAGAGTGCCAAGGCAGAACCCCTCAGATATCTCATAATGATTGAGCACAATCCATTGTAGACAGCTGCTATACTTAATCCAGAGCTTTGGTGAGACGATGCTCTGAATGTTGTTTTAAGTGTCTCCTCCATCTCAAGGATAATAGCCAATTAATATTTGGAAAAGGTGTGCTGTAATTTATGATTTGATCAAGCCAAACTATCCAGTATCGGATCTGGCCTCCAAGGCCTTCATTGGAATACCTTCTAAATTATAAAACATTTTCAGGTTTTCCTTCGTTAGATAAAACTGCTACAGACTTAACGGGACCTGTGAGCCAACAATTAGTTCCCGAATCATTTTTCTGATTAGGAGACATGAAAACCAACTTCCATATTTTTCAAGTTCTTCTATTTCAAAATCATCAATTTATGGGGGATGAGACAAAACCATTTTTGAAAGAAAATTTTTATAAGTACAGAGCGAAAAAAACGGCTATAGTTTTTGACAAGTTGGATATTTCAAACGAAGAAGATTTTTGTCATCAATATTTACTGTAATTTGAACCCAGACAGCGGGCTTCGTCACAACATTAAATCCTCTCTCACCGCTCTTTAGAATTTCCTGTCGTTTCCAGTTTCACAATTTGTGACGAGCTTGGATCGGCCAACACTGACTTTTTCATAATTTAGCACTTTTTTCTATTTACGGTAATGATGGAACTACAATTTTGAGAAGGGGTGTTATTATAAACATAAAGAAATATCACTGAAAAAAGGTTCAAAAAGGAATCCTGTTGTAGGAAACTAAAAATTAAGGATAATGATCCTGTTTATTTCAAATAGCTGAAGTTGTTTTCTCGCCAAATGTTTTTTAATACCCACATTTGGAAGCTCGATAAATTTCATTTTCGCTTGATATTAACTACACAGAAATAGAGGAGTCGAGGGTGGATATCCAGTTTATATCATGGAATGAAAGCCAAACTCAAGTTATCCATGCATTAAGTATGATCATTTCTTACCTTCAAAGATCCAACGTTCTTTGGTGCCCAACTTTAGTGTTATTGAGCCAAATGCGTATCCTTTTATCGCTGTCTGGTAGCTATGGTTACGATAGAAACTGTTGGTTTCAAGCCAAGAGGATCATTAATACTAGAAATGATCTTCCCTCTTCCTGTTTAGGCTCTTTGCACAAAAAGCTAAATTGGTAAAATAATACCAGGTGAAAAATTTAATCTAATGCAACGGATTGACTTGGAGTAATGCGACTTGGACTATGAATTGTTATTATTAATTCCTTGAAAGTGTCCCCTGTGGTCAGGTGCCAAAGGTGTTATAATTATATAATTACTGACCCCCGTAAAACCTTATTGTGCACCTTCTGCATTATATTAGCGATTTCAGTCCAAGAAGGTTATTAGGTCTCCAGTACGGTCCAAGTTTCTAAGGAAAATGAGGGCGAGTTTTTTAGGTATTAACCACCTAAATAATCAAATGCACGAAATGACATATATATGACAAAGTCAAGCACCAGTGTCAATAAACATGTGCTTGACTATTGAGTGTTTATTAAAAGAATGTAAAGCTGAAGAGATTCCCTGTGGCTTTTTTCTTCGAACGGTTATCGTAAATAGAGGAAATTCATGCGAATTGAAGCTGAAAAAAAATATTATTGTCTTGCGTCAATGAACAGGTTTATATATTTTTTATTTCGAAAGTTTTCTAAGCGTACAAATCTAGAATGACGTTTTTAAATTTTTACTTTTGCTAGTCAACGTAGGTTGTTAGAATCGCTTAGCTATGGTGAATATAATCAACTAACATAATAGCACAACCTTGCTAAATACCATTAATATCTACAAAACAAGTTTACAAGATTACGGTTCCTTCCTTTAAAAATCATGTTTGCTGAGTTCAGGATTTAAGTTTTGTCCTAACGACCCGTTATAAGCTTAGTGCATCAACTGTTGTGTATAAGCAAAATAAAAATAAAAAGTGATGGGAAATAACACGGGCGGAAATAAATTAGTTTTAAACAGAAATAACACCACCTGCATTCAATAATGGATTAAGCGATAGAAACCGACCTTTTTGCATTGAGAATGGGATGTTAACAAAGTAAATAACAGTCAGTTCAGTGCCATTGAAATGAATGAAGCAAATAAAATACGTGGGCACGCGTTTTAATTTCTGCTCATAAACGCATTTGTGATGTTTTCCGTTTTGCTTTAAAGGAAGACTTTGGATTTGGCGAGCTACGATTCTTTTGGGGTTAACCTACAGATTATACTCAGGGATTTTGCCACACAAATTACCATAACATTCAATTGCTTCATAATTACATTCAATGGAGTGCGTTAAGACAATAACACCATAAACATATTCTTGAGAATATTAGGTGAATATACTCCGATAATACAGTCACATCAAAAGTCAAGTTCCCTCGAGAACTACACTTTCCAATTTACAAGATCGATCCATAGATTCAGCGTTTTATAAATTTTATTTTATTTTTTGTTCCATTATCAGGGGGAAACACTTTATAAAATTGACCGAAACGTAAATAATTGACAAAAAGCAGTACTCACAAGAAATTGTAAAAAAGAAAAAAAAAGAAAAAAAAGATCCGGCTTGTGTACCGATATAAAATAAGCTACGTTCTATGATGGATTGTGAGTCTCTTGTTCTAAGTAGACGAAATTAGTAAAGGAAACTCCCGTTTTGAATTTCGATTATGGTGTTTATAGTTGTAAAGCTGCGCCACCTACTTTACTACATCGAGCAAAATATTTTCTTGTTTGACCCTCCTACTTACTCTAAACAATTCAGGAACGCAACAATTAAAGATGGTTTTCTTATTTGAAGTTCTCAGTAATTAGTCATTTTATTTTCCCTCACATTCATTAACGTCAAAATTAATTAATGATGAGTTCTAATAAGCTCTTTAATTTGAATAAGCAATAAATCTCCCGTAAACGTTGGATGTTAAACTAGAGAAATCCCATCATTTTTTGGAGAAACTTTCGACCTATGTCTCGATACATTAGGATTGCATAAAAAGTGTCGAGGCAAAACCCATCAGATATCTTATAATGATTGAGCATGATCCAGTGTAGACAGCTGCTATACTTGATCCAGGGCCTTAATGAGACGAAATTCTGAATTTTGTTGTTAATCGCAACCTTGATCTTAAGGATTATACATATTGATATTTAGGAAGGTTGTGCCGTAATTTATGATTGGATTCAGCCGGAAATTCTGAATGTTGTTGTTGTGAAGCGCACGAAAAGAAGATTCTCATAAAATATGGTAAATAAAATATAAATTATGGTAATCGGCGTGAAGGACCAGACAGGTTATCATAACCTTATCCGCCGAAAAAGACGTTAACCCTGCACTCAAATAGTTCGCTTTCATTTTCCAAAAACATGAATTCTTAATTTAGACTTTATCTTGAAATAAATCTGAAATCATAAAATAAGTCACGTTCTTTGATGGATTGTGAGTCCCTTGTTCTAATTCGACAAAATGAATAAGGGAAACTCCTTTTTGAATTTCGAATATCGTGTTTGTAGTTGTTAAGCTATACCACCCACTTCACTACGTCGAGCAAAATATTTTCTCCTTTGGCCCTCCTAATTAATCGAAATAATTCAGGATCGCAAAAAACCTAAATAATTTTAAGTCCAAAGTGATTCGTCATTTTATCCTCCCTCACATTCATTAGCGTCAAAATTAATAAATGATGAGTTCTAATAAGCTCTTTAGATTGAACAAACAGAAAATCTCTCGTAAACGCCTGATCTTAAACTTCGGAAATTCAATACATTTGTCGAGAAACTTACGACCTATGTCTTGATGCATTAGGATTGCATAAAACGTGTCGAGGCAGAACCCATCAGATATCTTATAATGATTGAGCATGATCCAGTGTAGACAGTTGCTATACTTATTCCAGGGCCTTAATGAGACGAAATTCTGAATTTTGTTGTTAATCGCAACCTTGATCTTAAGGATTATAGCAAATTGATATTTAGGAAGGGTTTGCAGTAATTTATGATTGGATTGAGCCGAACCATCCAGTATTGCATTTGGCTTCTAAGGCGTTCATTGGAATATTTTTTAAAATGTAAAAACAAGCAATAAACAAATTTTCGAAACGTGCAATTTGCGAGTTTTTTCGGATTTATTTTTGTTGCATATTGGATCAGGACCTAAAAGGTCAATGCCGATAGAAAAATTTTGGGTAGTCCTTCGCTGGTTTCGTCCATATTTCAAAGAGAAAGAAAACTGCATTGCAGCTTAACAGGACGGAAACTCTGAAGCCAGGTAAAAAAAAATGCTCACGTCATCTTATTTACGCACATGTGTGCGTAAATAAAGATTTTGTTCATAGCGGCTCAATAAGACTTATATAGGGCAAACACGCGCGCTATGTTATAAGGCAATTTTTCTTTTTCGTGATACGCAGGTTCTTGTAATTTGCTTGCGTTCTTTCAAAATTACTCATATTTATTTGAATTGTCTACTGTCCTGTCTCAAGAAACTTTAAATCAATAAGTAATGATGGCTCGAAATTATTTCAAAATTTCCGGCTATTTTTGTCAAATCGTTCGCTTTCCTTCCCAGGGCTTTGTCACCACAAGTTAGACAAAAAGCACAACGTTTTCCGTCCGTATAATGAAATCATCGCAACAACCTGTACACGATGAAACATTTAGCCGGCTTCACGCGCTCTTTAGGATTTTTAAAACATAGCGCACTTTTACCAGAATAAACAATACATATTCCCTTATCATTTAACATAGTAAATGTTTTGTTCAAGATGACAGACAAGACAGATATACCAGAAGCTACTAATGTCTTTCTATGAGACACAAAATTACTTCATTAATAAATTATCTCTTATGTTTTTCCAGCTTACCTTATTCTTCAGTGGAAAACGCGAATTTGTTTTGTTTTGTTTTGTTTTTACTTTTCCAATTAAAGAAATTTAAAATGGAAGAAACAAAATATATATATATATATACATATTCGGTTGAAGGTACTCGAATTTTCAATTTACACTTAAAATTGTTTAAGTTCTCATTAAGAGTGATATGCCATTGAAAAATAGCAGAGCAATTTCGAACTTCAATTTAATCAAAGAAATAAAACGTTGGAAAAATTGTGTGAGCCAAAAATTTAGTTCGTAAGTCTCTATTGTTTAAATTCCAATTGTATTAATCTCGATGCACGGATGGTTTAGTCTCTGAAACTGAAAACTCTCAGACAATCTTTAGAGCTTATGCACGGACGAAATTTTTTTAATAAGTCTTTCTTTATGTTTCTGTCTGTTTCTGAGGCGAGGAACTGTATATAAATTCAAGAAAATGTTCCAGAAAAGAATTGTGAAATTGTTTCGAAGACAGCTTTAAGACATGGGATTCGTCTCAGCTAAGAGACTCGCATTTTTCAAGGAACTCAGTTAGCGTGCGTCGCTCTTGAGGCCCTGCTTACTATTCGAGTTGTAATCAGATAGTTGTCTTCTAACTGTTGACTGGTCTCATTCGTGTTTTCAACGAAATAGAGAATTGCTCATTTTAGGAGACTTTAAAGTCACACGCTACGTGTTGGTTGACATTAGTACAATGCAAGTTCCAGTGTGCTACAACTTCGGCCTCCACAGACGAGAAATTCTGCGTTCTCGCTTAAGAGCAAATATCAATAGCTCCGTCAAACTAAAAAATGTGCTACTATCCTGAAAATAAAAGTAAAATAGCGTTGTCGTTGTCACTTACCGGCATTGAACATTTCCATGCAGAACTCCCCAAAACTAACATCTGTTGGGTGACCCGAAGACTTTCCGTAGGAATTATTCAAGCGCGCTGTTCATGCTGTTTGCTATATGACAATTTCAGAACTATCTGCAGATCTCTATGATTATTCGCTTGCTTCGATCGAAAAGTATCTGCATTTTTTTTTTCTATTACTACGTGTAAATCTACATCTCTTTCGATCGAGTGTCGCCGGCGTTTAATTGCGTGACTAGTAAAATTTATTAAGAATGAGCCAGCAGTATGTTGACCAGTAGGCTTCCTGCAAATTTCCCTTGACGAAAAAATCCCAGGACATAGTCAGTTGTTTTCGTGAGCGAAGACAATAGATATGAAAGAAAGCGAGATGCAAAGGCCTCTTTTTTTTTTTTTTTTTTTTTTAGCTTAAGAGATCATTCATTTTTGCGTTTGCGTTACTATGAAGGAGAATTTCGCCCGCTTTTCATGTTTCAGAAGAAAGTCAGCTGTAAGCAATTTATTTTTAAATTAAAGCTGAGCTACCAAAATAAAACTTACATTGCCTCAAAGAAACCGAACGTACCTTTACATTTGAAACCATTTCCAGTGTAAGTAGGATTGCACTGACAGTTGTATGAGCCCTTAGTATTCATGCAAGAGGCATTCGGATGACATTTGTTCAATTTAATGGCATGAGCTTCACTGTATTCGTCAATGTCTAAGAGAGAGGTTATTATTTGAAATGTCAAATAAAAAAATGTGTCATTATCGCGATCATATTAAGGGTTATTGTTTGTTGCTGATAAAGGACATGCCAAGAAAAGGCGACAGTCTCGTTTACGTTTAAAGGAACCAAAGGAAAACATCACGTATCTGTACAACTGAGTCCATTTCCAGTATATCCAGGGTGACAAGTAGAAACATACGATCCTTCGGTGTTTGTGCAGATCGCATTCACGTCGCAAGGTTGGTTTCTTTTACATTCGTTCATATCTGGAAAACCATAAATAAAGTTTACATTTTATCATTTTGCCTCCATGCATACAAACGGGCGCATGACATGCAAAAATGTAAAGAATTGTATTGGCTGACGCTTGTAGGGATGATAGGATGTGGCTAAAAAACACAGAATTGACATCCTAAAATTAGCTGTTTGAAAGGCTCATCTTCTGTACCTTAATATGATTGTCTGTTTCTCGTTTATCCTTCCTTACCGGTACAATTATGAGAATTAGTGAGAATAAATAACTGTTGTATGTGTTTTTCATAACAATTATTATAGTGGAGAGGTGCCACACAATTCACGATTAAATGAGCGAAGTGGTGATCCAGGTACAAAGACCATGGCTGACTATTCCTGCGTTGTCGCGAAAACTATTTCTATATACCTTGGCACGATTTTCCATCCCCAATGTATCCTTCCTTACAGATGTTGTGAGAGCCATTCGTGTTTTCACAGTTTGCATTCACATCACACGAATGGTTTCCATTGTTACATTCATCGATATCTTGAAGAGTTACAACGCTAAAGCCGATGACCATGATGATGGTGATGATTGATGGTAATCATAGTAATGTTAAAGGTGGCGATGAAGATGATAACGGTGATGTTGTGAGATAATAGTGTGATAGAAATGATTTCAAAGAAAAAAATGCTTAGTTTACGTCACATACATGTCATAAACCTGCAGATTATCGTTACACTGAGAAATATTGGCACAGCATATTTTTTACATGAGTCTGTTTGGCAAATTTATTTCCTCCAATGCAAATACTAGAAGTAACTAATCTAAATGAATCGCTGCATTCGTCAATACATCAGTAATATCATTACTACTTTATTTCTGTAATCATTATTTTGACACGATTAACAGAAAAAATAGCTAAAACAGCTACTGGAAGCAAAATAAATCAGGTCATCTTTGAAGATGAAGGTATAAGTACCTGAACAAGAGTGTCCATCACCAGTGTATCCTGGTTTACATTTGCATTTGTAAGAACCGTCCGTGTTAGTGCAACTTGCATTCACATCGCAGTCACTGATGTCAGATTTACATTCATCCATATCTAGAAATTGCAAAAGAAGAGAAAATATAACAAAGTAATCCAGACAAGAACTGAAACTGACTAAACAAACAACAATGCTAATAATATATATATAAAAAATATATATATATATATATATTGTTACGCTGACGTTATAATCTTTATCGTAGTACAGTATGAGAAACTTGATTAGTAAACAATTAGTTGAGTTAGTGAACGCATGCGTTTGGATATTCTCCTGAGAACTAGAGCCACGAATGTCGGTATGTAAAATCATTTTACACCTTGTCGCTTTTCAGTATCCAGTTATGTTTCTTAGTAAATCGAATCAGTAAGCGTTTTGTGATTTATTTTCAGTTGACCTTTTGCTTTATATGGAACACAAGTAAATAAAGTGAATAAGTGCAACTGGCAAGCGTTTGTTGAGTATATCCGAAGCATTCGCAAACATAACTTGGTAACTTAACTCGAAGAGAACTGATAAGACCTACCCCCGGTAATCATATCACAGTCAATCAAAACTGCCTTCCCAGTACCAGTCGGATTCAGCCAAAAGTTGCCGCTAAAACTGTCGTTTCCTTCACTCGCCTTTATTTCGTGACAGGGCAGCGCCGGTAATTCAGGTATAGAACCCAAGGGGGCTGCAGTAAAATACGTTCTCAGTTTTTCTTTTCTCATCATCAACTCTTGTAAATGGGAAGGAACGCGGTTAGCTCAGGATAGAGAAAATGTAAAGAAACAAAAAAAGTCACATTGGTACATAGACTTGTGATTTCTTACCTCTGCCGTTCAATCGTCGAATGTAAAACCACGTGGGCGCTAAAAGGAAATTCTTTGGTCTCGCCTCCTTGGTGCGGCTATTTAGTTCGCATATTTGGTATTTTTTATCGTAGTTATAGCTTTGGCACGTGATCTCTTGTCCGCATTTGACATCGCAGAAGTGAGGAGCTGCCACTGACCATCGTTTGAAGACAGAGCGTTTGAGAGCCATTCCTCGTATGTTTCCTTCTGTCTTGCATTGTATCTTTTCCTCTGTCCTGCATTGATCATGACAAACGCCATGGCAGAAGCGAAGAGGAAGAATCTTAAACTGCGTAACATCCAATACACAATTATTTACTTGTATTGCATCTGCAAATATGAAGGATAGAACCCTAAAATAAGATGTTCTTGCGTAATGACAGTTTATTTTGAAGGAGAAAAAATTAACTTCTCTCAACAAAGCAGGCTGCCGGACTACCAGCTGAAGATTTAATAATCATAATACATGCACATTAATATGCTACCCGAAAGTTAGCGAAAACACTCCATATTGACATTGTTAGTACACAATTTACATGATGCTTGATAGGGTGTCAATTAAAATGGCAAGGAAGCATTTTAAGCACAATTTTAGTTGCGGTAGATTATATGAGTTTTGAAGATAGACGCATTTTTAAATTTTGTGGAACTGTGATTGTAATACGCTGATCTGGTGTTACTGACATAGAGGAAAAAAATAGATAGGCAGCAGATAAGATGGCTTTACCAAATTGGCTAAAAGGGTAAGATAGATTCAAACAGTAAGGCCCGACCCCAAACAAATTATCCTCTTCTACTTGCTCGAAAAATGAATTATATTTAAAGGAAATCCTCTTCCGATTGCAACAAATTCAAAGTTTTTGGCCAACTTGAAACATTAGCCACGGCGGCTGTATGTATTGGCAGATTGTGAGGTAAACAGAGGAATGTACGACGTACTAGAATTAAAATGTAGAGGTTTAGATAGTATACCCGAAGTAGGAAGGAAACTATTCATTAAAACTAATGATATGGTCTATTTCAAAGCAGCTTTAGTGAGTTTGCCGACAACAATTTCCCAAACCCTAACTCCAGAGTTGAGAAAAACTTATCTCATGTAATTCTAAATCAAAGAAATATAAGAGATGCGGGTAAAGGAAGATTCTTATTGAAGAGAAATTTTCCTGGCAGTGTATTAACTATGATTGTTTCTTACCTTCTCAGGATGCTTAAAATCACTTAACTGCTAAGGAATTAAAAATGCTCCCTTTCATCACAGTGTGGTAGCTATGGTTACGATACTTCAAGTTGGATCCAAGCCAAAATAAAAGTAAATACTAAAAACATTTTATTTTCTCCACTTTAGGCTCCTCGCGCAGGGAGTTAAACGGAAGGGATAATGCCGGAAAAAATTTAACAAAATAAGTATTAAATTTTCGAGCAATATCACGGCGATGACAAGTTTCTTTTTTTTTTTCTTAAAAAAAAAAAATAAACATGTCACGATTTGTTTTCTTTTTAAGTTCCAAATCACTAAAATCGCGTGCATTACAACTAATCGGTCTAAATTAGCTTTTAGACCTATTTTAATTATATATTCCTCAAATTTGCATATAACAGACATGAATAAATAGAAGCTCGCTGTCACTTTTTTTTTGTTTTAAGAGTTACTCTTTCTTCCGAAAGTTTAAAAATCATCTTCAACATAGTTCAGGTTCTCATAATGTGTGATTTGAAAATGAACAATAGCGAAACGATTTTTGAACAAAATACTATTTGAAATGAATAAATCGAGAAAAAATTCACAGTATGGTTCAAAATTCTCATTCTAATAGTCTCACTTTCACTTGTTCTGGATTGCTTTCTTCTTCCGTGGGGTTTGCAAAAATTTTCGAAATTGCCCAGATTCTCTTTAAGAGTTATTTGGTGCCAAACGGCAGCAGAGCAATTTTGAACAAAGTAGCACTTGAAATGAATAATTCGGGGTAGAATGGTATGGTCCTGACTTGTCTTGTCCTGAAGTCTCTTATGCTTGAATTGTGCAGGTGGTTTGGTTTACGAAATTTGAAACTCTAAAAGAACTTTAGTATTAATGCACAGATGAGGTTTTTTTTACAGTCGTTCTAATCTTGTTCTGCCTCATAGGCTAAGAGACATGAAATAAAATAAATCTTCAATAAAAAAACAAAAACAAAAAACACTATTTCGAGAACGGCATGTGGGAAATTGCGTTTTGCCTCGGCCAAGAGACTTGTAAGATACGTTTTCGAGTTTTATATTATATCACGAATACAAAAATTTAAAATCGTGTTTTGGCTGCTAGCGATCAATTAGACTTTCACCTCGAAGGAATAGCTTTCCCTTCGTTCTCTTTTTTCTTTCCTCCTGCTAACACGAGTCCAATATGACTGTAGGAGAATACAGAATGAGGGGAATTTGATTGCCAACCCCTAGACAGGAATCAATTAAATTTAGGCATCGCCCTAGTTCGCCCTTATCAAGACCAGTTGGCGAGCGATAGAACAATATCTTTGATTGTACTTTTGTTTATAAGCAAACATCGTGCTAAGATATAAGGATAAATAAAGAAGTAATAGGGAAAGGTACTAACAAAGGCTATAGAAAATTTCAGTGTTGGACCGCACTGAAAACTATATTAACCTACTTTTCGATAGTTCATACTGCAAGAATGACACGTCTGTCTACTGAAATAATTATTTATCATAGGAAATATGATTTTTAATGATAGCATGAACAAGACGATACCAGCGCAAATATCTACCAAAATATTAAAGATCATGACGCCAAATCCTTGAAATACATCGATTATGAATCCTATTATTACATAAATTTCTCTCAGCATATTTAGTCTTTGCTACAGAAGCGCGACATACAACTCGGCGGCTGAACAAGTTTGTAGATATAGTAGGATGAGCATTTCTTCACATTAATGCGGATTGTGGCTTTGCAACCTGAAGAACGGTCACTAAAGCAGACCGTCCTTTTAACTTCACCATCTTCCACTGTAGGATGAGCACCATCCAACCAGCCTGACCAGTCTGTACCACATCTAAATGCTGGCACGCGTTTTGTTGGCATTTTTGTTCCTGCAGCTCCCACAAAACGATACCATCCCAAAGGGAGTTGGGTGTCACACAACTCTGAACCGAGAGGTGTTGCGTAACTTATCTTTCTATTGACATCACTCAAGTTTTTATAATGATAGCAAGGATCGGCTACAAAGTGAAATAATAATTGCAACAGGGCGTAGGTTTTTAACATCAATGGTTCAAGATCTTTTCTAACGTCTTATAACGATTTTATATTAATTAAGGGGCCAAGTAGTACATGCGTAGGATATTATCACTCAAAAAAGCTAAAACAGTGATATTAAAGATCCAAATAAATTCAAAATGATCCGAATTTGAGCTCCTTCCTTCTCAGACAGGGCATTAAAGGACAGCTCTAGGCAGACCTAAGGTACAGCCAGTATCGTTGACATATGACAAACTAATAATATGGCCGACAGTGGCCATCTCAGAGATTCGAGCGAGAGTATTCTAAATATTATACCAAAAAGATTAAATTCACCTGTGCAGTTTTGACCATTTCCATTAAATCCAGGCTGGCATTCACACACAAAGGATCCGTTGGTGTTCGTGCAGGTAGCATTCACGTGACAAGAGTGATTTCCTTTACATTCGTCAATATCTGAGAAACCATATATAAAATATATATATGCACTTTGTCATGTTTGTCACTTTAAAATGGGCGGACTCTCAGTCGTGTAATTTATTTGGTTATTATATATGAGAAAACAAATTTATGTCTCTATTTTTGTTTCACGAGTTAGACATTTGAAACGTATATTTCATCAGGAATTTTTCAATTTATCAAGCTGACGGCTCTAGAAAACTGGCTTTTCCTGTAGCTCCTACAAAACGATACCATCCCCCGGGGAGTAAGTCGTCACAGAACACTAGACCAAATTCATGCTGTGTACCGTAACTACTCTTTCTATTGGCATCACCCAGGTTTTAATAATAATAACATGGGTCGGCTATTAAATTTAATGGACATTACAAAAAGACTATAGTATTAAAGATAACATATTTTTGCAAACATTTTTCCAGTCAATCAGTCGGACAACAAGCAGACAGGACTTGTGTTTTCCAAGAACAACTATGCATTCAGTAAATTTTAAAGAAGAATTTGCGTTGGACGATGATGATGCACAAAGGAACTAAAATGAAATGATAGCATTGTAAAGAGTTTCGTAAAAAATGTTGTGGTTATTCACCGTGATGAATGACAATAAAAGCTAAGTTTTTTTCGTTTGTCTTACGTCAAAGAAGCAACTTATATAGGACTTCACCCTAACAACATCAAAAGGGATGGTGGAATAGAAATTCCAGAAGCGTGGATGCCCACGATCAAAAAACACAACAACAGGAGAGCCGTGCGACAGCGGACCGCCGAGGGAGCAAATCACTGAGTGAAACAGCAGGAATCGAAATGCACCAATCAGAGCTGTTGAAAAATAACTTATCACAGCGGAGCATCATGTCTTATAAGATCACGTATGACCAGTCGACCTCGTCGCCTGAAGAAGACTAGCAGTATGCAGCCGAAACGTCGCGATCTACATCACACATGACTACATTGTGAGATAAACGAAAAAAAACGACTTTCTTCCGCTCATGATTTTCCACGAGCCATGATCTTTCCTTAAGAAAGAAGCTTTCATATGTGAAATTTGTAAAGTGCACGATGCAAACAAAATATGGAAATAACATGAAAATCGAGCCTCAACATGAGCGGTTGCCGCGAAAGTTCCCCCAGAGGATTCGCTTAGGTCCGAGATTATGACAACTTCCTTATTCATTAACTTTTATTCGAAAGTACGCTTTTCTAAATAAAAGAAAAATTGATTTTTTCGGCATCTGAAGGTGGGATGTAACCTCAAATTAAAACGAGTTATGGGTAATAATTATCTAATTTTCCTGCAACGCGGCTGAATGGTGCGGTGCTGTAGTCCAACGTGTCATGCAGGACTACTCTAAGTACAGAATACATGTAGCGAGGAAATTAAATTCACCTGTGCAGTTTCGTCCATTTCCAGTATATCCAGGGTTACATTCACATACATGTGATCCAAGGATGTTTGTGCAGGTAGCATTTAAGTGACAAGAGTGATTTCCTTTACACTCGTAAATATCTGTAAAATCATAAATAAATCAAAATTTGCCGAGCATAAGCTTAGATACCTGATTCTTTCTGCCTTGTGTTTGTAGACGCAAGCACTTCATATTGCCACTCACCAGATTTTATTTCTCGGTTCCCCCAAGTTCAAATCTGTTGTTCTGTCCTGTAAGCCTAATTCCATCAAGTCTCCAATTGCCAGTTGAGATTTTTACCACTGAATATTTATTTAACCCTTTAACTCCCGTGAGTGACCAAGACAGAATTTCTCCTTACCAAATCAATAATATATCAAACAGACAAGTGATGAGAGTGAAGAAAAATATCCTTTAGGGGAGTATTAGTTGATTCACTACCAAATTCACAGTGCTAGCATCCTACAAATTCTATGGCAGACAGTAAGGAGAAATACTCATGTGATTTTGGGAGTGAAAGGGTCAATACAATGGTGTCGATGTCACCAATTATTCATTGTGACTTGTTATTATTCAATTGTAAATGACCGAAGTTTGGTCGAAACTTCGTGAGAAACTATTTTGCCGCTAAAATTCACTTAAAGACTCTTACTTTCTTAGTAGTGTAACAGCCCGAAATATATTATAAAAAATAGAATAAAGGTTTCTGATTTACAAAATAGAAACTGGAGATGGGGGCGCTATCCACGGGAATAAGCATGGCTTACTTGTGCCAAATGATTCTGTCTGATGCTAGAGCTAATCTAACGTGGCGTGCAACTGCGGGCCTACTTGCTTTGTCGGTAACAGTCGGAAATGCGCTAAAGTTCGTATGCTAATTTAATAATGTACCTTGGCATGACTTTCCGGTCCCAGTATATCCCTCCTTACAGGCACAAAAGTGAGAGCCTTTGGTGTTGGTGCAATTTGCATTCTCATCACAAGCATGACCTCCATTGCTGCATTCATCGATATCTAGAAGTACATGTGATGTAAAAAAGGAAATTAAATAGAAAGAAAAAAAAAAGGGCAGAAGAAAAATTGGGCTCAAGTATCACTCAGCTGTCACCTAACTAGTACTTCTGTTGCAGTCATATCTTTCACTAATTAAATACTGTGCATGTAACGAAAAAAAAAAAAATGGGAACCCACAATTTCCACTTTTATGAACAATTTTTTGCTTCAGATGTTTAAGCTATTCTTAACATTGATCGTTCCTCAATCGATCATTCCTTACAACTGCAGTTGCGCGAGGAGCAGAAGTATATTCTTATGCAGTGATCAGCCGATTCTTTGAACTTTAAAGAATTGGAAATTCCAGTAATAATCCATCCGTTCGAGTGCAGTTATGAGAGCCATTAGTATTAGTGCACTTTGCATTCACATCACAAACATGGATTTTCTCGCTGCATTCATCGATATATGTAAACAAAAGTGTTCGTAATGATGATGGTCAAAGTGATGGTGACGAGGATGATGGTGGATGATGATGGCAATTTTTTGGCAATGATGTTAACGATAACTTTCTTTGGTTTATTTCGTATTTCGTATTAACACAGTGTTAAACATGTTTCCTTTGCCTCCGATGCAAGTGCTTGTGCTTATTCCTGCATTTATTAACTACGTCAAAACTATAAATTCTGCTTTAATCTGTAGCTGAACTCAGTATCATGAGGAAACCTCGCATAGAGGTGAGCTAAAACAGTTAATGGAGAAACACATTCATGGTCATCTTGGGTGAGGAAAATTAACTGTACCTGAACATGAGTGTCCATCGCCAGTGTATCCAGCTTTACATGTGCATTTGTAAGAACTGTACGTATTAGTGCAGTTTGCATTCACATGGCAGTCACTGATGTTATATTTACATTCATCCATATCTAGAATTTAGAATGAAAGCAATGATTAAAGTAAAACGAAGTAAAAAGGGTATCCACGCTAAAACTGATATTAAACAAACAAATCATAGTGATAACAATAAAAATAACATTACTATAATTTTGCGGTAAAATTAAGTTAACTCGTAAAAGAAAAAGACCTACCCCCGCTAGCCATATCACAGTTAATCAATATCGCCTTCCCTGTGCCTGTTGGATCCAGCCAGTACTTCCCGCTAATGGTTTTTTTTACTTCACTCGCCTTTATTTCGAGACAGGATATCGCTGGTAATTCGGGGATAGAACCTAAAGGAGCTGCAGTAAAAATAGGAGTTATGTTTTATTCCTACTCTTATTTCTCAATTATAGGTGAGAGAGAAAAAGATTGGCAAAGTATGAAGAAAATCTAGAGAAACAAAAATCAGCGAGACACATAGACTTCTGACTTCTTACCTCTGCCGTTCAATCGCCTGATGTAAAACCACGAGGGGGCTGAAAGGAGATTCTCTGGTCTCGCCTCCTTGGTGCGGTTATTTAGTTCACATATTTGGTATTTTCGATTGTAGTTATAACTTTGGCACGCGATCTCTTGTCCACATTTGACATCACAAAGGTGAGGAGCCGCCACTGACCATCTTCTAAAGACAGAGCGTTTGAGAGCCATTCCTTGTATGTTTACTTCTGTCCTGCATTGATCATTAGCTGTGACAAACTCCATGGTAGAAGCGAGGAAAAGGAATCTCAAATTTCGGAACAGCCAATACATACCTCTTCGCTTTTATTGAATTTGAAAATATCGAGGATCATTCCCCAAAAGATGTTATATTCCTGCCTAACGACAGTCTACCTTTAAAGGAAAAAAAAGAGGTGTCTTTCAAAAAAATTCAAGACATAACAATCATAGTATATGCAAATTTTGATTAAAATTTGTTGCTTGAAAATTCACCAAAAACAATCCATAATTGCTGTTAATAATCCACATTTTTCGGGAAAGAAATAAGTCTAAGAATGTGTGTCTCTGCGTTTTCTTTACTTATTAACAGAACAGTTCAGTATTCAAAAGTGGAAAATAGATCCAAACAGTAAAACTACGCCCTATAGTATATAATACTTCCAAGAGACTATCAATTGAAATTCTCTTTTCGTCTTTCAGTGCCGCTTGTTCAATAAACTAGTTCATTTTTTCTCAGAGGCCACGGTAACGAATCCTGCAGTATTGGTTCTTTGCATACTTTATTACCACACAATTCAAGCTAATCGAAATGTCCCAGACTCGAGCACGCGGGGCGTGCACACAGAGAGATCTAAAAGGCATGTCCTATGGGAAACAAAACTGCCGTTCATTGTACTCGTTTCGGTATCTAAAAACCAATATAAAGGAGATAACATATCGGTTCTATTCTAACTCTAGTATTTCGACTCTTTCTTTAACGTTAACCACGTCCGAACTCTTCACATGATTTCTGTACCGTTTACACGACTCTCTAAGTTGTTCTCTAGAGGTAAAGAAATCATCTTGTCAATTATTTGTTTGAATGCAGTTTGTTTTTAATTTTTTTAGTTTCATTTTTTTTATTCAGTTCCATTCGAGAAAGCAAATATAATAAGGTTGGAATCTTATTCATAAACATAACAGACTTTTTCTTTCCCAGTTGGATGTAGTCTCATTCCTTTATCAGTTTAGAGTTGCGCCCTGAAAGAGGACTGAAAAGCTTTTGAAATGATTGTTTTATCAATATTTGTCATTTTCCAGCTACATGCATGTGCCAAGCTGTGATGAAAAATTTAGGGTGCTTTGGTAAAAGATGAGAGTTGGCTCGTTTAAAGTCCTCAATACAATATTTTGCACCGTATGTTTAGGCGTAAACGCTTTGAATTTTATATTTAATGCATCAATACACGGAGAAAGTACATTCCATTATCTTTGTATTATCATAGAGAACAACATTTTTTCTCATATTAATGATAACAGAGAATGTCGCTTACCTTGAAAAGGAATAACGGATGGTAAACACGCAGTTATCCCTTAGAGCCCCCGCACTCACCAACGTCAAGGAGACTTGATTATCAGCCCTCAGAATCTTTTAAGCCTAAAAGATATATAATTCGCCTCCGCTCAATAATGAGTGCCCTCAAACATTTCAGAATGATGTGTAGAAATAATTAAGAAAAGCCCTCCAGAAATTAGATCGGCACTTTGCGTCAAATCGTTGCTAAGAAGCTTGGTTTCTTAATGCATAGCCTTTGTGCATTGAAATTTGAGTCCGAGATAGGTCCTTAATAAAATTGTTTTAACTATGGTGTCGTGACCAAATATTATGAATTTAACATGTTGATGCATTAAGGACATTAATTTTTTATCAGCTTAGAGAACGGAAATTGCCTGAACCTCCTTATGAGGTTTCTATTGTAGGAAAGGCACCTCGTGGACGCAAATTACAACCGACATAAGAACACCTGTGCGGCTTGAAGATAATTAAGTCCTGAAGATTCCACTTCTCAAAGCAGAAACGAAGTGCAATCGGTCAAACAATTTAAAACTTTTTCTCTTACTATTTATTTCAAATCACCTTTATCTCAACTCAGTTATCAACAATGGAGTGAAGAGTTGTCTCCAATCACTTATCCAAAGTTACCCTCATGATTCCGGCTTTGTCCAAACTTACATGAACGCTCTCAATATTTTATTTCTTATAGCCTGAAAGACTACTCCAGCCTTCTGCACATACAGAATAAAGCAAGTACCCGCACGACATTTGGCACATTTTTTTTTTCATTCGATCCCTTTCAAGGCACCGCAAAACCTCAAAACCGCGGAGAGAAAGTAGAAACGAAGGATAATTCGACCATCAAGGTGTTAAAACAAATACACAGGCCTTCTGTTCTATTCTGGCTCCTCACAAGCAATGAATTCAACAAAATTCAGGCCCGAAGTTAAAGTTAATCTGTTTGCGATGTTCGCCAACCAATGGCGAAGATACTTATATCATTAATATGAAAATGAAATTTTATCGGTATAAATTATTAGCTTTGAAATTGGTAAATTTTGACTTCAAACTTACGAAAGCTAATTTAAAATCAGCTCTTAGGAGTGTTTTGATAACGTATCCCTCTCGTTTTTCCATTGTCCATTGCCTAACTAAAGACGCTCATCCATAAGTTTAGGGAAATTTAATTAACAATAATTAACAAATTGTCTATTCCATTTGTGCACTGTTGTATAATTTTAGACTGGGGACTTCGAGTTAATATTGATGATTTGTGATGCAGTTCATTTATTCGTAGCAAACAAGATTCCATTATTCGAGAACGACATACAAACTTGAGTGCAGAGATGAAGCTACAATTCGAATTTAAGTTCAGCATCAGGCCAAGTAAATTGCAGAAAAAGTCTACGGAAATGCAACAAAATGTTTAAATAACAGAACATTTTTAATTAATTGCCACTCAGATATGCACAAAGAATTCGGCGACTGTGAAGTTCATTTAAGTTAATGACGCTGCAAATGTGACAGGTTCTTTTTTGTCATCTGACGTGTTCAAGTTCTTTTATCCTTTCGTTCCTTAAATTTATGATGTAGGTTACTCGCAAATCATAGCACCTAAGAATTTCTGGTGTGTCTTCCAACCCTTTATCACCACAATATGGTTTCGTATGGTTTGTTTTAAAATGAAAGACATAACACAGGTCCTACAAGCTATCAATGACCATATTTGAATACAAAACTTGTATTCTAAAAAGGACTCGCTTTAATTTTTTTCTGGGTTTTTTTTTGTTTTGTTTTGTCTTTTCTTTTTTTAGCGGGGTTGCTCAATTTTTTTTAACATCGATTAAGTGTTACATGCAACGAAGGGAAAATTTTGAACAAATTTTTATTTGAAATGACTAAATTGAGTTAGAATTGTGTCGTCCTAAAAACTTCTAGTCCTAGAGAGTCACTTTTTTTTAATGCATTAACATTTGTGGAGACGTCAGGTGTGTTAATTTTGATAGACAGAAACGACTTCTCAGCCTAGAGCAAAGTCACTCTCATTTGACCTACAGGGCTCAAAGTAATGCTTAAGACAATCTCTGGCCATAGAGTGCCCACTGATTGGCGATTCACCTCTATAATAACAATTACCGTAACATATCAAAGAAAAGGTGTGCGGTAGGAAAACTTAGCGGTATTTTAAGGTATTTTCATTCCGTCGGTTTGGGAGAGGGGAAAGAAAATGCACATGTTTGCAACAATTTGCGCATGCCGATCTTAATGGTCGTGGACTATACTTAACTGAACAGAAAACTGAGCCGAGCTCTTTAAAGAACACAGCTCAATTCTCTCAGTAACTTCCTTTTACGGTTACGTGAACAAGAATACGATTTATATATACCCAAACTTGTGTTGGCTTTCGCTGTCATATTCTTTTCATTATAGAATATGCACTTATAGATTGCAACGTCCCTTGGCTGGAACCCATGAATAACAAGTTCACTCGTGATCAGATTGTGCTCATGAAATACCGCTGTAGAATAAACACGTTTTCCCAGTCCCTGAGCCACTTAACTCGAGGTAACGGTGCTCCACCAGCGGAGCAGTTCAGCTTCACTGTATCGCCAACATTCTGAACATAAGTTTCATTGGGAGGACTGAAAACCATGTTGGGATTCACTAAAAGGAAACATACCAACCGTTAGAGTGCTAAGAAACAAATTATCACCTTTGATAAGCGACATCGAGGACGTTTTTGTCATAACGGGGGCAGAAGTAGTTTTAGTTTTTTCGTCGTTTTGTCCTCGTCCTTCTTTTCTTTTACGCGAGATGTCATTTCTGTCGTGCTGATCAGTAACGTCTGCCAACTTTCCTACATCTTTAACAATGACCCATGTAACAGCCATGACACTCCCCAATTTATTGGTTCCTTGACACATATAAGCACCGTCATCGTCTTTTGTCGTGTTCCTAATTATAAGCCAGTTGTAATCTATAACATGCCTGTTGAGGGGAAGTTGATTGAGGGATCTTGTCCATGTGATTACAGGAGTGGGATAGCCAAATATGTCACATTTGATAATAGCGTCCCATGTTTTATAAGCGGTGACAGATTTCCCCGGTTTCGCTTTAAATCTTGTTGGAACTGCAAAACAAAAGAGAATAGGAGGAAGAAATCATAAACTGAGATCTACAACACATCATGACAAAAATGATGGAAGTATTCGACTATTTAATGGGCAAACAAGAAATTTTAAAATATTGATACCTTCAACAGTGACATTCACTGATAATTCAGTTCTACCCAACAAATTCTCTACTGTACAGGTGTAAGTTCCACGATCCTCGAAGACAATTTCCTTTATTTCCAAATTGCGTTCCTTAAACTGCCTTCTCGCGTCTTTTATCGGGTATCCATTCTTATACTATGTAATTACTGGCGGGGGAAAGCCACCCGCTTCACAAAGTAATCTCACATTTTGCTTCTCCTTGATTGTCCAGGAAGATGGAGGCTTTGTGACGAAGTATGGTAATTCTGTAATTAAAACAGAACTTATTATCGTTACAGCATTCATTTTGCAATTTGGAGACTGAATTTGCTATCATTATGGCATTTTTTTTGCATTTTAGAGACTGAATTTGCTATCATTATGGTAATCATTTTGCAATTTTAGGACTAAATTTCCCACTATTATTGCGTTCATTCTGTATCACCATTGTGGCAATTATTTTGCATTTTGAAGACTGAATGTGCTATTATTAATTATAGCATTAATTTTGCAATTTAGAGACTGATTTTACTACTATTAGAGCCTTAATTTTGTAATTTAGAGACTGAATTTACTATGATTATGGCAATAATTTTATAATTCAAAAAATAAATTTGCTGTTATTTTGGCATTCATTTTGTTATTTTGAGACTGAACAGGCCTTGTAATGTCTCCGATTATAAAAAATATGAGAGACTGAGAGCATTAATTGATATATAATATAAACAGCCAATCGTGGCAGTTCTTACAGAGTCGATAAATGTCATAAGCTCGGCTTGTAATTTACCACGATCGAGTTTACAGTTAACGCCAAATCGACAGCATCTTGGAATACAAACATCACAATCATGATAAATGACGAGGAAGAGAACATATGCCAAATATCAAACAAACCAAACACGAAGCAATGAAAACATTGAAATATCACGTTCCAGTCTAGAAATTGCCAATTGTTACTTATATTTTGCAAGTTGAGAAAGTATCCATTGTCATAGAGATTCTAGTCATTACCTAGGGAACCTCCACTGCTAACATTTGCGACGTGTTGCGACGATTTCCCAGGGGTTACCGGTGGTTTTGATAATCCCGGTGGTCCTGGTGGTCCTGGTGGTCCTCTAGTGCCCCGCTTCCCTTGCCGACCAGCGACGCCTTTAGTTCCCTTCTTTCCCCTCTTCCCATTTTTTCCAGGAGGTCCCCGTGGTCCCTCCGGGCCCTTAGGGCCAGACGTTCCTGGTGAGCCACGAGCAGCTTGGGCACCGGGTACCCCAGGAGGACCAGGTGGACCTTGTGGTACTTCACGACCTGATGAGATGTTAAAAAAGATATTCATTCATTCGTTCATTCAAAGACATTCTCGACAGAGCGGTAACCTTAAAAGTAAAAAATCTGGTATTTTTTGCCCTGTTTTTATTTAAAATCGAGAAATTTAATGGTTTTAAACATAAACAATCAAAATGTCAGAAGCGAACAGACCTGATTCAATTAAAAAAATTATATTTAAAAGGTAAGAGGCTTTGAGCCCGTGAGGTTACCGCAAACTGCGAAACGAGTCCCAGGCGGGCTGAAATAAGACAGTGAGATTGAGAATGTTTTGGGAACGTGAATATTTTTTCTTTTTAGGGGGGAGGAAGGCGTTGGGCGGAGTTGGGGGAAGACAGAACAAATCCACCGAAAGTTGTTAGATGTCATGTTTTTATCTGACCAAGAGAATTTCTGGAAAAAATTCAAGATGAGACACATTGATCCAACCCCTTAAATTATTAATTCGTTGTACCAAATGATGAGAAAATAGGAAAGAACAGGACAGAATTTGGGTACATTGACTAGCAGAAGACGTTGAGATGAACTTACCATTTACACAAATTACTTTTTGCAGGGTGTGTTGTTCTGTCGAATTCTGTTGATGAAAAACAGATCAATTGATAAACCTTTAGATACAGGTGTGAATTATCCACCTATACTCGACTATTACGATTGGTAAATCCAGATTGCTTGTTTTTTACCACATTCCTAAAATTTAAGCTCTGTCATGAGATATTAATTGTGGCTTCTCTGTTGTTATTGGTTTAATTGAAGCAGTATTGAAGCTTAGCACGAAAAGTGAGTTGTCAGCATTCCTTTTCAATGACTTAAAAGTGCCTTAGGCATCAATTACCAGCACATTTGGGAACACAACCACTGACAGCTTCTGAAATATCGAAATTCCGTGGCAAGCCGATTGACTGGCGATTCAATGGATTGTTTAAATTTAACATGAATAAATTTGTCTTGGAATTATAAATTCTCTCAGTGACCCTCCACGGACCCGCTTTTAAACTGTTTCATGCCTAAGAAACAGAAATAATTTAGGTTTAACAATTAGGAATGAAAACCTCTTTCACAATATATTTTAAAACACAAAATACTGAGTGCTGATACAAAACAGGTCTTGATTATGACCCATCTAACAGAGGTACATAAATGTAGAGGAATCCCTCACCAATCTCTGCCTGAAATGAACGAGTAAATTACTCACGGGTGGTCACTGGTTTCTAATTTCGGATTAGTGATACCAAACAAAATATCCACTTCTGGGTAATTTTGCGGAATGCAACCTTAAAACTGTTTACTCGCACTGTGAGACCCCTTTTAGATATGAAAAAAACTCTTACCCAGGCTTGTCCGGTATCAGTTTGAAGAATAATGTAAAAAACAAACGTGAAATGAAGGAATGTTGCTTTTGGAACAGCTTGTGACAAGTGAACTAAGTCATTAATTCTTCTTAGTTAAACTCACGCCGTTCCTAATAAGTTCATCATTTTTACTGGTGGACTTCTCACGCAGTTAAGTCTTTCAGGTGGGGCCAACAAAAAGATACATCATATGTCCAACTGGCACGGACTGCCAGGTTGGTGCTGCGATTCCACCCACGTGATTCCATTAGTCTGTCTTAACCTTCTAATTATAACTAAAAAGCTGTATGTCCCAAAACGACATAAAAAAAAAAATAAGTAGTTCAAATAACCGCATTGTTTGGAATAGCTATTAGAAACAAGAGTAGCACAGCAAGATACTCAGTATGTGCTAACTCCTAATTATCGAGGCAGGAAGACAAACACCAGTTCATAATCTCAATCAAAATGCCCGAAAGGTCTCACAGTAAGAAGCACTGCGGATGTTGAGAGCAAGCGTGCGGTGACGTTGGAATTTTTTGACTAGATGGTTACATTGCAGTATCAAAGTTTCATTTTTATGATATCTACACTACACTCCACAGTTACGCCGTACACTGACGAATTAACGTTGGGTTTTGTTTCATCTATATAATATTAATATTAAAAGTGAGTAAAACGAGTAAAACGAGTAGTATCAAGATCGAACAAGGATTGATTCGGACGTCAACCGACGGGGTGTGTCTAGTTAAGCATCAGAGCTCCGAGCTTACATTTTATGGGATGTAATCCTTTTTTACTCTGATGGCATAGTTGGAAAACCCCTTACAAAAAAAAGCTGTGTGCAGATGTTAAATCAAAGTTTTTCTAACTAAGGTACCCAAATCCATCTATTTCTCTAACTGAAGGAGATTCGAGGTAATTCAAATTAGATGTGCAAAAAAAAATCAAGATGCTTCACGTACAAAATTTTGTGTTTTGTGTGTTATCCGACACTTGTAGGAATAAAATTTAATTCCGCTCGATTCAATTATGAATTTCCACATCAGTTTTTTGTTTGTTGGTTGGTTTTATTTTTGACCGATAATAAAATAAGGTTAAATGATGAGATTTCAAATGATGCTTCGTATGTAACCCAGCTATAGCGAGAGTTTATCAGGTTGGCCCTTCTATACACACGAAGTTGCAAATTTTCGGTTTAGCTTAAATCCTTCCTATCCCATATTTCAAAGGCAAACTTCTACAAGTAAAATATGACAGTTACGAATAACGGGTAAGATCGGTGACTAACGAGATAGACACTAACAATTTTGGTAACGCATGTACATATCCTCATCAATAATTCTTCCAATGCTTTTTCTGTGCAAAACTTTCAGGAAAGCATACGAGGGAAATCTGCGAGGGAGAATGCATGCAATTAAAAGTTTAAATCTTACCTTCCGTACATCGTGGGGGTAAGAACAGATGTTGCTACACTTTTGGCATATAGACTGACTATCGGAAGCCCTTTTGAAGCGTATAGTGTCCCTCGTTGATGATCCACTGCGACGCAGTTGAGCATGTGTTGGCTTGGTTATTACTTGGTTGGCAGGCTGATGAGGAGGATTTTGAAGCAATTGATTCTGTTCAACTGCTGTTAGACGTGAATCTAATCGATTCAAAGAATAGCACGTAAAACCGAGTGAACATAGCGTCAAAAGTAAATTGACTGAAAGTCCAAACATCAGAACGTGGGATTTGATTTTCGCTTTTGACTCCATCTTCTCCAATCTTCGTCTGATACAGACTGGAAGATTTTCCACTGTTACATTCCATTTATAACCTGTCAATGGTTGTTTTGATTTCACTCCTGTTCGGGAATAATCTATTGAGATCGCCCCAGGCAACTGTATTTGATACCCGTGTAGATTAAGTTGTTTTTCATGATCAGCTGGAATCATTCAAATCTTTCATGACATTTGTATCGGTATTTCCGTTTTTATGTTCCAATTAAAGAAAAAAGCTAAAAAACATATGCTCATTTTGAAAATGAAACTCAGTTTCGTTATCAATGATTTGATACAATAAATGGATCAAGCGCAAATGCCATACATAACAGCAAAACGTGCCTGTAAAATTTGTCTCTGAACAGGCATGTGGCTTTAAGAAGTAATCGACGCATGTATCCCTGAGACGAAAGGTGATGAACTTCTGGGTCATTCCATAATGTTTTCCAATGCAGCGCTGCTGGATGTATGACGGATTTAGAAAAAGAACTCAACTTGATATCTGGAAAAAAGTCAAAACATTCGTGATTGCTTGCCGAGAATCAAAGGAACGTGGGGAGAACGGTTTCTTCTCAAACTCCACTGCGTAATCCGGCACTTGGCGCCTTTCCGTACCTCAATTATTTTTAGCACAATGTCAAGTTGTCAAAAGGACTTCCAAAGTTGCGGGGCTGGAAATCAAGCTAATTGACGAAATATATCTCATTAACCCCAAATACAAATGAGGAAAATTTGTAAGGAACAAAATGTAACACAAAGAGAATCAACAATTTTACTGAGATGTTAATTTGGCCATTCGAAGGTCATTGAGTCGGCCTCAACGGAATCCAACTCAGATAACTTTGCTAAATGATTGATTGAAACATCATAGAAAAACAAAACAAACCAAAACGATTAAGGTCGGATTCAATACCTTCTAAATTTCATGCAACTAAAATTGGAATTCAAGTAATCGTTTCTTAGAGTGACAGGTATAGAAATTTATCGTTACCACTGATTACAGTTAAAAGTATATTTTTCTACCATTCCCAAAGACTTAACATGGTATCATCTAAAAACTCCTCGTACCTTTATCCCCACATTGGGAAGTACAGATAAACTAGACATTTAAGTCGTATTTTGATGGGTGAGAAAAATGTTGATCTGTCTTCTTCTTCCTTTTCTTCTTCTTCTTCTTCTTCTTCTTCTTCTTCTTCTTCTTCTTCTTCTTCTCCTTCTTCTTCTTCTTCTTCTCCTTTTTCTTCTTCTTCTTCTCCTTCTTCTTCTTCTTCTTCTTCTTCTTCTTTTTCTTCTTCTTCTTCTTCTTCTTCTTCTTCTTCTTCTTCTCCTTCTTCTTCTTTTTCTTTTTCTTCTTCCTCTTCTTCCGCTTTTTCTTCTCCTTTTTCTTCTTCTTTTTCTTCTTCTACTTCTTCTTCCTCTTTTTCTTCTCCTTTTTCTTCTTCTTTTTCTTCTTCTACTTCTTCTTCCTCTTTTTCTTCTCCTTTTTCTTCTTCTTTTCTTTCTTTTTTCTTCTTCTTCTTCTTCCTCTTTTTCTTCTCCTTTTCTTCCTCTTTTTTCTTCTTCTACTTCTTCTTCCTCTTTTCTTCTCCTTTTCTTCTTCTTTTTCTTCGTCTTCTTCTTCTTCCTCTTTTTTTTCTTCTCCTTTTTTTCTTCTTCTTTTCTTCTTCTACTTCTCCTTCCTCTTTTCCTTCTCCTTTTCTCTTCTTATTCTTCTTCTTGTTCTTTCTTCCTCTTTTTCTTCTTCTTCTTCCTCTTTTTCTTCTCCATTTTCTTCTTATTCTTCTTCCTCTTCTTTCTTCCTCTTTTTCTGCTTCTTCTTCCTCTTCTTCCTCTTTTTCTTCTCCATTTTCCTCTCATTCTTCTTCCTCTTCTTTCTTCCTCTTTTTCTTCTTCTTCTTCCTCTTCTTCCTCTTTTTCTTCTCCATTTTCTTCTTATTCTTCTTCCTCTTCTTTCTTCCTCTTTTTCTGCTTCTTCTTCCTCTTCTTCCCCTTTTTCTTCTCCATTTTCCTCTCATTCTTCTTCCTCTTCTTTCTTCCTCTTTTTCTCCTTCTTCTTCCTCTTCTTCCTCTTTTTCTTCTCCTTTTACTTTTTTTTTCTACCTCTTTTCTTCATCTTTTTATTGTGGGGTCTGGCCCAAGTGCTAGGCCCCGGATGAACTCGTTACTTTTTATTATTATTAAAATTTGTTTTTTTGGCGCGGCTTTGCTCGGCAGCCATCTTTTGCATTTTTTTCACGGTTGAAAAAATAGTATCCATAGCTTCAAGTACATTGATACGGTTCTTAAGGTCTACAAGGAGACTGTCACGGTCAAAGGAAACAGTTATAAGTATCATATTTGTTTGTTTCGTTCTACATTTGTTTTGCGTAATTCTACTCAAATAATTCGGCACTACGACTACCGTGCGCTGTAATCCATTGCGGTCCTAGTTTTTTTTTTTTTTTTCTAGCGATTTGTTTTCGTTACCGCACTGTGATGAGCATATGCATTACCACAAAGTGTACTTTATACTGTGTATTGCATATGGATAGAATCTGATCCCATCAATATCTGGGCAACTGCCCACCTACCCCTCCCCTACCCAACATTAACCCTAACTTGTCATCAATTGATTGTTGTTGGGGGAGGGGAGGGGTAATTGGGCAGTTGCCCAGATACTGATATTGATCCAAACTTTGTGCCGAATGACTAGGTGATTAAAAGAAAATTGTAACTCTGCGCTTTGACTTTTTGCTAAGCTGCAGTAAAGCTAGTATTGCAACCACAATTATTATCATTATTATAATTGCGAATGTTGTTAATATTATTGTTACAACTTTCACTATCATCTCTCTGCTTTATTCAGAGCCTTTTTGTCCATGCAATGATCATTTTTCTTGCTTTACCAGTGGTGCCAAAGCCATGGCGTTGTGGTTTGCCCTTTGCTTATTTGTCTGTTCCTTTTTAGTTCACCATTTTTTGTTGTTACTGTTGCTTTTGTTTTTTCTTGCGTGTGTGTCTGATAATATTGTGTCTAATAATTACTGTGTTTTAATCATAATTTTATCGATAGCCGCCTTTGAAAAGCGAGTCCAATGGGTCAGTCTCATCTGAAGAACAATGCGTACAAATGAAATTGAACATCAGAGACATTTTAGTCAGTTGACTCTTAAATATGATTTCTTTATTCTATTGTTTCCCACTTTTGTAAAGTTTTCCAAATCATCTACCTCAATCACTAAACGTTAGGTGAATCTCTTAATGTGATTTATCCTTTATACATTTTGAACACGTTGTAATCCTGCAGTTCACCATGGTACTTAAAATATCAATTACATTTTCATTAGGAAAAAAACTTTGTTCTCTAGTTTGTTACTGCGATCTAGCTCAACGTTAGTCAACTGCTTCGCCTTTTGCAGCCTTGATCTGATTGATTGTCACTGATAGATTATAAATTACTCAATTTTAATTGACTACAACTTCTCTGTAATGCTTATGAGTTGATATACCTTTGAAAATGGTGAGATGGTGTAACACGAAGACTTTTTACCTTGGTTGTTACGTATGCAACATTTATGTAGGTCTCGCCAACCACTCACTAGCAGTTACCTCAAAAATAACTAAAAAATATTATACATCAGTTAACAATATTTTAGTTACCACCCAAACAATTTCTTTCTAGGTTTTCCAGACATAAATTGCTCTAAAACAAACTGGGCAACATCCTTTCTGTTGACCTCCTCGAGCGCTACGGCTAAATGCGAAATCATTTGAGCTCGGCTTAAACGACACCGAGTTCTCCACATGACCAATAATTTAAAAGCTTTCTCCTGAGGACCCATGCTTAGTCCACCGAGCTGACCAAGATCCCTGTCCCCTACCCCAAGGAATGTTCCAAGCCGAGACCACTCCTCTCCATTCAATTTGTAAGCAACTCGCCGTAGTTCGCGGTCGCTTAAACCATCTGTAAGAGACGAAAAAAAACAAAATGATCATTTGACGGCAGAAATAAAATGGAAGAAGTGTCTTAGAAGTATTTTAAATTGTACTCATTAGTGACCCCCTTCCCTCTCTTGTGACTTAACTGAAGTTCTTCAAAATATCTTATTCAATGGTTTACTACTCTGATTCTCTATGCCTTAAATGATGCTAGCGTCTCTTTAATCCTCGACAGCTTTGGCAATTGTCATATCGAATTTGGGTACGTCCCCTCTAGTTGATTTTTATGAACTTTTTATTACTTGAATTGCTTGAACTTGCACAGTTCTTCCACTATGATTAAAGAAATTGTACCCTTAGGTTAAGACCCCGAAAGTTTATTTCTACACTTGTCGATTATTAGTGTCACTAACCTGCGTGGAGTCTTGAATTGGTATCTGATGCAAGAATTAGTTAATGTGAACAAAAATAAATTTAAAAAAACAAACCAGACTGAGTCGCGTCCTTGCCTTTCCCTGGATCTGGAGATACGCCTCCAGCTGAGTCATCTGAGTTTGAATCGAGGCTTATCGTGCTGCCATGGAAACCGGACGTTTTCACAGTATTCAATTCCTGTTCTAGTTTCCTCCGTTCAGTTTCCGCTTGACTAAGCCTCTTGTCCATCACGATCTTCATTTGACGAATCTTCCAAAGAAAAAAATAACTTTCATTATTCTTTCACTTTTCGTTGAGAAGGGACGAACCTGATGTTTAATTCCTGAGTTTGAAGAGTTTTGACGAGTCACATAGGGGCGTTTATTCAAACGTAGAATGACAGAAGCAGATCTGTTCACAATGAAATGTGGATATGCCACAACAGGCAGACAAATTGATGATAAATAGCAGCACTCATAGACAAGAATCATTCTCAGGAAGTGATTTTCATAAGAATCTAAATGTGCTTTCTCTAAGAATCACACATACCCTTTGCATGTCGAGACGCGATAGACATGTTATATGCGTATTGAACTATGAATAAAATGGTTTTGGTCTGAATACTTTCTAGGGTCAGTGTGTTGCGTTATTATGTGAGACGCTTAAAAATTACATCGCCCTTTCCTTTTAAGAATTTGAATGGGTACAACTTACGTGTACGAGAGACTTGACGAATGGCTGGAGACCATACTATGACGTTTTAAATTATCGTTTGGGAAAACTAGAAGGAATCCTTTTCCTTAAATCGATGGAAAAAAAGGGGCGAGCTTCAAAAGCAATGGAACAGTAAGTTCGTGATATAATGACTTGTTCCATTCATCACAGCGGATTTGATGACCACTTACAATGTTTTGAAGTTCCACTTCTTTCTTTTGCCAAAGCTGTTTTTCCTTGCTGTGTTTCTCCGACAACTCTGATTGAAGCTCCATGCACTCTTTTCTGATTTAAAAAAGAATGAAATCAAAGTTGTTAGACCTTCAAGTTGTTTGAAAATAAGTATTGCGTAGGGTTATAAAAAATTCAAGAAAATAAAACAAACCTCAACCGTTTTGTCCACTTTGCCTCGACTTCGTCCAGCTCTCGCTTTAGTTTGGATTTGTGACTGTTGCTTAGATGTTCAAGTTCAGCCTGGATTGGATAAATTAAGGAAACGTTTTACAAGCTGAGTTAGAGTGGTGGAATGCTAATCTCTGTAATTATGATGTCGGTAATCCCTTACTTTCATGGAGAGGAAGAAAGTGTACAAGTGCAACGCATTTTTAAGCCTTCGGTGATTCTGTGAATGGAATGTCATGAGCTACGGGATCGAAAGAGGATTTAATCTATGTAGATTGAACTGACATTAAGAACTACGGAGGACAAAAAAAACGAAAATTCTTATAATTATTACTCCTAATCAAACTTACCTCAGAATTACAAACTCGAATTTTTCTCAGAGCAGGCATAAACTGAGCAATCGACAAAGTCATGAGTTAACTGAGAATTTCTTACCTCAAGCTCACATACTCTGTGCTTAGTCTTGCTGAGTTCCTCATCTAATGCATTTATTTGCAAATCAGCCTCGTCGTGAATTCCATTTCTCGATCCATTGACGACATTACTCCTCATCTCGGTCAACTCCCTAACGCGTTTCTCCAAAAGTTCAATTTTCTTATTCTTGGCAGAAATTTCTAGAATGAGCTCTTCTTTTTCGCTTTTTAGAAAGTTATTCATGGCTTCTAACGATTCCATTTTTTTCTGTGATGACGCAAGTATTGGCTCATTTGCAAGTTCTTTCAGCCGTTTGTTCTCGCCCTCGAGTCGTAAAATTTCCGCTTTGAAATTTTCTACGTCTGATGAAAAGCTTTCCACTGCCGCATTTCCGGGTGAGGATTCTTCGATTTTGGTCAGCAGTACATCAACTTCCTAGTAAAGAAGGTGTAAGTATATAACGTTACAGACTGAAATAATTTCCTAGAGTTTCAGAAACCACAAAGTGTCGTTAATGTTTTGTGCTGAATTGAAAAACGTATAAAAACCTTTTTGTCCATTTCATTATAGACTTACAGAAAGGAAATGAAAGGTGAAAAATTTTAGTGCAAATGACTAGCTAAAGCTAAGACTAGTTTTTGGTATAAATGAAAAGTGCGAAGGAAAATGATGTGTTTTGATCCAATTTTAAGACCTACCCTATGACTATTCTAGGAATATTTTTGGGAGACTCACTTGTCAGAAGGATGGGCAACAACAGTTAGTTATATAGTCATTGTTCTACAATAA